GGTCTGTAAGGACACAGGGAAGAATCCGCCAGCAGTTAACTGACAGGGTTTCTGTGATCTCAGTATGATCATATGTATGTGTCTTCTCAGCATTCTGCCGGATCTATTCGTTGACAAAACGGGCCACAAAGTTGCGTACACAACCGATCCAATGTTCGTGCTTTCAGTTATCAATATACCGCAAGAATGCGTAATCAGTAGCAATTGAAGTATAATACCACCTACGTACAATATGAAACACACTCGTCGTTCAACAGATATATCGCCCTGTAAAAGATCATTTGGTATGAAGATTAGAGAGGCAATTCGTCAAATCATAGATACGAACTTCATCTGTTCGCATCGTACATTACTATCAGCGTCTACCAATTTAATTGTTTCGTCAGTATTTGTGCAAGATTCCCTAACATATTCATTATGCTTTGATCCTTGCAATATTTCATAGAAGAATCTTTAATAATATAATGGAACCTTGATTATCCGGTTCTCCGATATTAGAATTCTCTAAGGTCAGTATACATTTGACATGAAATCTGCACAATCTAAAGCGACACGTATGCAAAACGATTTACTATACGAATTGATAAAGATTATTAAATCTTGCACCGTAGCTAACTAAAAAACTGATTGATTATCTGGACGATTACTTGATTCGGAAAATCGCCGTTCCACTGTAGNTGTCTGAGGGGTGTGACTATTGCTCGGTCGCTTCCGATCCGCCGACTGCCAGTGTCTATTGAAACACAGTGCCCGCGATGTCAGCCGAACCAGCCAGTTCCCGATACGATTCTGTCCGATAATGGTGTCTGAACGTTGCAATGGCACCAATAAGGTAAGGAGAGAGTGCGAACTGTTTCTTGGCAAGTCTATATTGTTCGTATGTTCTATATTCATAATATTCGTACAGAAAATATCTATTTAATCATGTAGAACAATATTGAAAGATAGGGGTCATATATCGTTTACTACATTTATTAGGTATTTCGTTAATTTCGTGGGTTATCAGCGTTTCGCTTTAACCATTACTGCATAGGTCATCTCATTGTTGCATCGTTGTAACTCCACGGTGGTTACCAGCGTAGATATCAACGTTTTACATTCTGTAAGATTGTTTGAAAAATATTTTAACGCAATTTAAATATCGCACGATCAATAAATGTACGATCTTCTGCTAATTATTACCTCTATGACAGTTCTATCAATGCCCATGGATATNGCACAAACAGGTTCCCACGCCGAATACCACCACATAAATTAAGATATTAAATGAAAAGACAGCCTCCGCTCTGATGCAGTATTCGATAAGCGCTTGATGCTGTTGAATACACGCCTTGAGGTTTTTGTAACATCTATCCGCATAATCAGGCTGTTCGATCAATTTGCTGCTAGTGTCGAACAAATTAGTAAACCTGAGTTGCAGTATTTGGAATTGGCAGGCTGTGTGCGTATTGATGAGAATGAGAAAGTTGTCGAGTGCTACGAAGGACAGGCCGATTTGGAAACAGCAGAACGCCTGTAAAATCGGTAGATTGTTTGAATGGCATTGAATTCTTTATAAATATACTGCGCCCAATTTATTAACAAATGTGATCTTTATACATATAGATACGTGCAATACCTGGACGATGAATAGTATTTCGAAATAAGGCGTGTCGTAAATTGGTATGCCCAGAACCGGCCACATCCTGAATGGAAGCACAATTACTGTTGCGTTTCCCGAGACGGTCTCTGAAATGCGCGGAAAAAATCAAGATTGCGGAAGTGCAACAGTCACGATGCAACAAAGATGGTAAAAATAAGTAATTGTAAATCGTTGATACGAATACTATCCCGTAAAGTGTCTTAATAATCGCGAGAATTTCGTCTACCAGCCGGTACCGTAGAACGGCACTGTTCTCGCATCCGCGATTAATTTCGTACACTCACCATAAATTGGTATACAGATGTAACCTATCGCAATGTACGACACACAGCCGTACGTGATCATGACGACAAAAGTGATATATTTTCGAGCGGACTCTACGTATACTTGCTCGTCTTCGTTGTACTCGATGTCCCAGAAATGCGTCCTCGTGTAGATCATCAACTTTAAAAATCTTTGTTTGTTTCGGTACAACAGGCTGCACTTCAACAATGATGTGATGGACATTAGAAAGTGTGCAGCTACATAAAGAAAATTCTGTAATTGGACAAATATTTACAATGTTTGCTGAATTTTCATTATGTGTCGGTAAATAAATTGTTAATTGTCATTGTCTTGTAAACGTTCACCTAATGTCTGATTAACCCTCTATAAACGTGAGCGACTTTGCTTCATTCTGCCGTCAGAATTTGACATAGTTTTGTTTCATAAACTCTTGAACCTTGACCGGGTTGTTGGCGTCCCGGCGCCATGACCCCAACAATGTCGTAGCAAAAGCTTAATTTTTCCCGCGCACTAATTAAAGATAAAACACAATGGATCGTTTATTCGGAATTAGAATATCTTATCTCGTTGCAATTTCAATTTGGGCGTGACCGCGGTGTACCGATCAATTTTCGGAAAATGTTCGCTAATATTAAATGCATTTTGTTCAGATTTAAAAAGAAATCGGTCTACGGATAGTTAATTTCAGAATTTCAGGAAGTGACCAATCACGAAGATTTCCAAACTGACGCGCAACTAAACCAAACCGTTCGGAACCTGCTTCGATAGGCGACGATCGAGACTGGCGAAATGGTTTCACTCACGTCGATGTCGTCCAAACTATGGTACATGTCAGTTATGAAGATGTATATGCTGAAACACAGTATAAAGAACGTGTAGACCACGGCGAGCGTTCTCAACCTTCGTTCCCCATCGGTTCTCACCAGCCAACAACCTATCAACTTCATGAAAAAAGCCGACAGAGTAATGGAAATGTCTTTTTTCGTCATAGGGATTGCAAAACGATGACCAGAGTCACGAAATTTCATCCGACCGTCGAGCATCGGCTAGGAGTGCTTATTTCGTCTGACATTGCTTTGATCAACCGTGGACAGCCGCGTATCAGCGAGAGTTTCGATATGCACGGCTGCGTGGTAGCATAAAAACCAGATGTAGAAGAAAACGTTTCATTGATCTATTATGCAAGGTGTCTGAGGGGTGTGACTATTGCTCGGTCGCTTCCGATCCGCTGACTGTCATTGTCGATTGCAACACAGTGCTCGCGATGTCAGCCGAACCAGTCAGTTCCCGAAGATATCCTGTTCGACACTGGGGTCTAAACGTTGCAATGGCATCAATAAGGTAAGGAGAGAGAGCAAACTATTCCTTGACAAGTGCGTCAAACGCAGCACCGGGAGCATTATCGCAAACTGGATTTCCAATATTTGATGGCACTTAGATAACTCGAAAATGATCCTTCGATTTCCGATTTAGCGACGCAACTTCTGCTAGATAATTGCCGTCGTTCTTATTAATTATAATTATAGTTATAATAATAGTAATAACAATCGCTATTTTACGCTTTCAAAAATCGAAATCTCTTCTTCTGTTGCCCGGTTTAATGTCGCATCCACTGCCAGATAGCCGACGTGGCAATTATCGAATCCTGCTTCATAAATTATAATAGTTTCCGCTCGTAATTTAGGCCGTGACTGTAGCTTTTTAGGCGTTTTTCTAGGCGTCATTTGAAAAATCACATTCTTCGCGAAGAAATGACGTACGCGACATCGTCGAAAATGCTCGTACAGTCACGTTCTTAGTCCCGTTTCTCACGAAAATGCTTTTCTAACGCGATGCGCGTTTCTTCGCGTTCCTCGATCGGGTTTATCGCTGACCGAAGCCCCGTCAGCTTCAAATAAAACGAAGTCACGGACAAAGAGAAGTCATTGATCTCCTCCGCTCGCACGCTGAATTAGTTCGCAAAGGGTTAAAGATATAAAACTTGCTTCAATGCTTTTCATCAATGTGTTATTACTAATAGAGGTTTTCTACACGCTCAGTTACGGGATACTTGCACGTACGGTACACGAAGTTTCGATGTTCGCTTGCAGATACATCAGTGATTACTTTCCCGGTACACTCACACCTTATCGAGAGTTTGTTGTCTCAGTAAGGTAAAATATGACATCGCGGTGCTGAGAACCTGAAACAAATGATTCAACCGTTAGAGAGACTCATTGAACCCACGAATTTTGTGCATTTATGAGAGAAATTAATTGATCAAATGGAAAATTTCGAAAACGTTGAAACATATTATGAAATATATTTATTTTTAGTGGAATCGCGTTACTGGAATCTTATTAAAATTATGCAGGTGAACAAATAAACGAAGATGTAGCTACTCGTGCGACCACATAGCGTCCACTCATTGTGCCTTTTACATAAATAATATTGAAAGCGGCGCGTGAAGACAATTTTTCTTACCCGAGTGAATGTTTCTAACGATACCGGGAAAAAACCGCTAGCTGTGACGCAACAATGTTGGTTCGCCCGTAAAATCATGAATAATATGTTCTTCCGCAGAATTCTGCCAAGTCTGTTCATTGGCAACTTCGGCCACGGTCCGGACAGTATCGCTTTGCTGACGTTCAGGCTTTGACGTATTATGCCATCGCAACTGTACGTGAACATCAAGAGTTGCACCAGTGTACCGAACAAATTTAGGAACAGGCCAACGCTACGAGATGGAGGCGTATCTGCCTGCAGAAATTTTAATCAAATCAGAAAACGACATTCGTAAGTTACCGTTTCGTCATCGTTCTATTATACAGGGTGTCCCAAAAATGTCTCGCAATCCGAAAGTAGGGGATTCCTAAGGTCAGTTGAAGCAACTTTTTCCTTAGCGAAAATGCAATTCGCGGCTTCGTTTACGTGTTATTAACGAAAAACAGTGACCAATCAGAGGCGAGATCATTCGGCGCGAGACGGCCGAGCCAATGAGCGGAACTGGGCTCCGTGCACTCGTTGGCTGGGCCGCCGCGCGCCAGCCGAGCTCGCCTCTTATTGGTCAGTGCTTTTCGTTAATAACTCGTAAACGAAGCCTCGGAGAAAATTTTCGCAAACGAAAAAGTTGCTTCAAATGANCGAGTGAATGTTTCTAACGATACCGGGAAAAAACCGCTAGCTGTGACGCAACAATGTTGGTTCGCCCGTAAAATCATGAATAATATGTTCTTCCGCAGAATTCTGCCAAGTCTGTTCATTGGCAACTTCGGCCACGGTCCGGACAGTATCGCTTTGCTGACGTTCAGGCTTTGACGTATTATGCCATCGCAACTGTACGTGAACATCAAGAGTTGCACCAGTGTACCGAACAAATTTAGGAACAGGCCAACGCTACGAGATGGAGGCGTATCTGCCTGCAGAAATTTTAATCAAATCAGAAAACGACATTCGTAAGTTACCGTTTCGTCATCGTTCTATTATACAGGGTGTCCCAAAAATGTCTCGCAATCCGAAAGTAGGGGATTCCTAAGGTCAGTTGAAGCAACTTTTTCCTTAGCGAAAATGCAATTCGCGGCTTCGTTTACGTGTTATTAACGAAAAACAGTGACCAATCAGAGGCGAGATCATTCGGCGCGAGACGGCCGAGCCAATGAGCGGAACTGGGCTCCGTGCACTCGTTGGCTGGGCCGCCGCGCGCCAGCCGAGCTCGCCTCTTATTGGTCAGTGCTTTTCGTTAATAACTCGTAAACGAAGCCTCGGAGAAAATTTTCGCAAACGAAAAAGTTGCTTCAAATGACCTCAGGAACCTCCCATTTCCGGATTGCGAGACATTTTCGGGACACTTACTTTGCATAAATACTATGGGATCATTAGGAACGTTTGATTAGACGTTCCACAGAGTTAGACATTTATAAATCGATGCAGTTAGTAAATTAACATCTGCAGAGATACAACAATTGTTCGTAATGCAATTGTCTCAGCTTTGACACTTGAAATCTTATCCATAAAACATTATTGTGACCTATCATTTTATACAGCATAGCAAAAACAATCATCCAGAGCGATTTCGGAAAATGTTTTAGAACGTAATAAATTCGAAAACGTATTGTCGTTAAGCGAAGTATAATATCCAGTTGCCACCGTACGAATTCGTCAAGTTTAAGTAGACATTTTTAGTAGTTGAAAGTGTTCTTCCTTTGATTTGCTCAGTTTCGTCGACTAACAAGCGGTTGCTTACCAAAAACAGCTGGTATCCCACGAGGCACATAATCAAGCTCAGAAACAGCATCTGCCCGAGTATGATCCTTGTAAATATATTCTCAATGTGTTTACAGTATTCGATAAGCGCCTGATGTTGTCGAACGCAATTCGCCAACATCGCTTGATAGGTTCTCGCGTATCTGGTTAAGCTTTCGTTGCTGTCGGCTTCCACCTCGACGATGCTGTTCAAATTATTCAGCCTGTGTTGCAGTATGCGAAATTGACTAGCTACTTGCAGGTTCAAGAGGCAGAAGAAATTATCGAAAGAAATATAACAGACACCGACGTGATACACGCACAGGATCTGCGAGAAAGTCACTGCTGTCATCGATGTTGCATTCGATAAATACAAGTAACAATACCTGCATCGTGAACAGCGCCTCGAAGTATGGCGACTTCTCCACGGGAAAACTGACCCACATGTTGAACGGTAAAATCCTGTCGGTTTCGTTTTTTCCGATATTTTCTGGAACGTCGGTACCACGTTTTTATTGGCGCACGATCTAATCTCGAGGACATTTTTTGTCATTTTATCGAAGGTGTTTCGAAATTACATCACGAGCGCGCAAAGTTTTACAGCGCTTTTCGCAGCGCGGACAAGCATGCAGAAATGGAAAAATATCATTTTCTGGAGAGACACCGTCTATTTAAATTTTGATTGAAATTATTGCCCAGTTTGTTTTACGAACGACGTAATATTTATTATTGGAATTACATTTCGCAGAAATACGGTCGAACGTGCAAATTAATTTTTACTGAGACGTTCGTAATGACAATAATAGTAATGTTTATACTTTTAATGGGTTGAACCTTTCGTTATGCAATACAAGAATACGATAACATAGTGCGACCAGGAAAAAGATAAATGTTATAACAAATGATGCATACATGATATGACATTTAGAATCAAACTAAAAAAAAAAAAATTGATAATTTTAGTAAGAGTTGGATCCAGTTACCTACTAGTGGTGTCACCATGTATCCAGCACAAGTGCCCTGGGTGCAAAAGCTAAGTGTAATGACGAAAATTCCGGATATCCTTCTGCAATTGTCCAGAATCATGGATTCCTCAAAGTCGTAGTTCGAATGCCAGAAATTCTTTTGCGTGTATCGGACTAGTTCAAAGAATTCCATTCGATTCGTATACAAAACGGCGATCTTAAATAACACGATCATGAGGTATGAAATGTTGCACATAATGAAAATGCAGTCCTAGAAAAATGCAACAATCACAGTTAAAACTGCACGCGCACAGTCCAGCTGCAATTATTTCAAATCGAAGATTAACTAAAATTAGAATCCGTCGCCTGAAGTTTAGGACCACTTCTTAAGTGCCTCAAAACTCACGAATAGGTGATGCAACGCAATAATGCGATAACAACGGCTTAGAAAAGTTTTCGGAAGTGCATACTCACGCCAACGTTCCCCCAGGAGAAATAGATATCTCTGAACGCGACGCACGTGATGATGCACATCGCGTTGATCGTGTAGATCAGCGCCGCGTTTCTTCGTCGTTGTTCGGCCTGATCGGCCGCGAGCCATATGCCAACAAATTTCATCAACAGGCATGTCCAGTCGATCGAAATGTCTCTACTCTGTATCAGCCGCATGACTGACTTCGAATACCGAGAAACATTTGTTCCCGTATTCGGCAGGAGCTTTTCTATTGATTTCCTCGGTGTCAGCTGGGCCCCGATGACACTCGAACGCTATTTCTACCTGTCAACCCGTCCACTTATGGATTCTTTTTAACTTCAAACATGTTATCTTCCACTCTTCGCACCTTCCGTCACGCATGAAACGCGCCCCGAAGTTACCTGTCGAAAGTGTATTATTCATGGTCCAAACACCTGTTACGTTCCGAACAGTATTTTACATTTTATTTTTCTTTCCATCGGCTGCGAACCGGGTCGATAATATATCCGGGAGCTTCCCAGTCGTTCCTGGAAAGCCTTCAGTAGTGTACTCTCTTTGGTTTTTTCGCACGGATCATTGTCACTATAACGCGTTCTACCGTTAATATTACACGCTATTCAGTCAGAGAACTGAGATACCGAGAATAGCCTAAATACCTGGCCCGGAAAACAATGCGAGTTCTCATCGTACAAGTGTGTCACGTACAAGTTATCGCGCTATAATTGATAATATAATAATATATTCATCTGTATTTGATGACGCAACGCGCAAGTAAGTGATCTTCATCTTCTCTTTTTCCAGCACGTCTTCCATTAATATTATACTGCGAGCAATCATTTGGGGACGAACAGTAGTAAATAAAAGTTTCTAAACAGAACGTAGAAATAATGAACATAATAATATTGTTAAATTTCTTTTTAAATTCTCACTCATTTTTAGTATGATCGTCGCATTGCTCTCCCAAATTCATAAAATCCTCTGGTCACTCATGAATTGTCAACTCCGCACATTTACGATTGAACTGATCACGATTATTGCAGCAGAATGTATTCAAATTGTTGGTTTTCATGAGGGAAAATGATTGAGACGAGAAATCTGTTTCATTCCACCGGACTTTTATCTCGAAAATACAGTGATAATAAAAGTTATCATGATGTTAATACTTGTATCGAAAATATCTATTTGTTCATGTAGAATACTATTGAAAGATAGGGGTCACATATCGTTTACTATATTTATTAGGTATTTCGTTGATTTCGTGAGTTATCAGCGTTTCGCTTCAGTCATCATTGCATAGGTCGTCTTATCGTTACATCGTTGTAACTCCGTGGTAGTTATCAGCGTAGATATCAACGTTTTACATTCTGTAAGATTGTTTAAAAATTATTTTAATGCAATTTCAATGTCGCGCGATATATCAATAAATGTACGATCTTCTGCTAATTATTACCTCTATGGTAGTTCTATCAATGCCCATGGATACTAATTTTCATGGCAGCTTCCTGCTCCATGAAATGAATTGCAATTCACGTGCATACGGGTAATTAGGATTCCGATGACTGCTTCAGCAGTGTGAAGTAAGACACTGCGGTACTGACGAGCTGCAAAACACAATATTGTCATGATCGAATTGTCTCGAAAATAAATGCTCCTATTATCAAATGTCGCACAGCTCGATAACTATTTCATTATGCAATTGACTGCATCATTCGAAAAAGTAAACATAATACAGTCTATTCGTTTCATTACTACACCGTGGATACTCGTGCAAATTTTCATTTTCACAGGACACTTTACGAAAATTAAAAATAGAGAAAGGTTTCCTTAGTCAACGACAAGATTGCTCGTTCCAAAAATAGAAAAATTCTATCAGACCTCGTTAATTTATACTTCTTCCATCTTAAAAATCCGCACGTGGCGTGAATGCATAAAAATCCGTATGGATAGATGTTTCCAAATCGAATAACCATAATCAGCTACCTTAGTAGAGGTCTCCAAGGACACAGGAAAGAATCCACCAGCAGTTAACTGACAGGGTTTCTGTGATCTCAGTATGATCATGTGTACGTCTCTTCTCAGCATTCTGCCGGATCTATTCGTCGACAAAGCGGGCCACAAAGTTGCGTATACCACCGGTCCAATGTTCATGCTTTCAGTAATCAATGAGCCGCAAGAATGAGTAATCAGTACCAATTGAAATAGAATACCACCTACATAGCACATGAAACACATCCGTCGTTCAATAGTTACATCACCCTGAAAAGATCATTCGGTATGGAGATTAGGGAATTCATCAAATCGTCTGTATGAACTTCATCAGTTTGCATCGAACACGTTACTATTACCTTCCACCAGAGCATTGAAAATCAATTAGAATTCAGAGTAGCTAGATTATCCTTGAAAAATTGATTGTTTCGTTAGAGTTCGTGCAAGATTTCCTAACAATTTCGTTATCCTGTGATCCGTGCAATATTTCACAGAAGATTCTACAGGATGTCCCAAAATTATGGTATTTCCGGGAAATTAGAGATTCCTGAAGTCACTCGAAGCAACTTTTTCCTTTACAAAAATCTTCTCCGAGGCATCGTTAACGAGTTATTAACGAAAAACAGTGACCAATCAGAGGCGAGCTCNTAATTTTCATGGCAGCTTCCTGCTCCATGAAATGAATTGCAATTCACGTGCATACGGGTAATTAGGATTCCGATGACTGCTTCAGCAGTGTGAAGTAAGACACTGCGGTACTGACGAGCTGCAAAACACAATATTGTCATGATCGAATTGTCTCGAAAATAAATGCTCCTATTATCAAATGTCGCACAGCTCGATAACTATTTCATTATGCAATTGACTGCATCATTCGAAAAAGTAAACATAATACAGTCTATTCGTTTCATTACTACACCGTGGATACTCGTGCAAATTTTCATTTTCACAGGACACTTTACGAAAATTAAAAATAGAGAAAGGTTTCCTTAGTCAACGACAAGATTGCTCGTTCCAAAAATAGAAAAATTCTATCAGACCTCGTTAATTTATACTTCTTCCATCTTAAAAATCCGCACGTGGCGTGAATGCATAAAAATCCGTATGGATAGATGTTTCCAAATCGAATAACCATAATCAGCTACCTTAGTAGAGGTCTCCAAGGACACAGGAAAGAATCCACCAGCAGTTAACTGACAGGGTTTCTGTGATCTCAGTATGATCATGTGTACGTCTCTTCTCAGCATTCTGCCGGATCTATTCGTCGACAAAGCGGGCCACAAAGTTGCGTATACCACCGGTCCAATGTTCATGCTTTCAGTAATCAATGAGCCGCAAGAATGAGTAATCAGTACCAATTGAAATAGAATACCACCTACATAGCACATGAAACACATCCGTCGTTCAATAGTTACATCACCCTGAAAAGATCATTCGGTATGGAGATTAGGGAATTCATCAAATCGTCTGTATGAACTTCATCAGTTTGCATCGAACACGTTACTATTACCTTCCACCAGAGCATTGAAAATCAATTAGAATTCAGAGTAGCTAGATTATCCTTGAAAAATTGATTGTTTCGTTAGAGTTCGTGCAAGATTTCCTAACAATTTCGTTATCCTGTGATCCGTGCAATATTTCACAGAAGATTCTACAGGATGTCCCAAAATTATGGTATTTCCGGGAAATTAGAGATTCCTGAAGTCACTCGAAGCAACTTTTTCCTTTACAAAAATCTTCTCCGAGGCATCGTTAACGAGTTATTAACGAAAAACAGTGACCAATCAGAGGCGAGCTCGGCAGGCGCGCGGTGGCCATGCCAACAAGTGCGCGAACCACAGTTCGGCTTTATTGGCTGGGCCGCCTAGCGCCAAGCGAGTTCGCCCCTGATTGGTCAGTGTTTTTCGTTAATAATTCGTTAACGGTGCCTCGGAGAAAATTTTTGTAAAGGAAAAAGTTGCTTCGAATCGCCTCAGGAACCCACCATTTCCCGGAAATACCGTAATTTTAGGTCATCGCAAATACTAGTACAGTGGAACCTCGACTCTCCGGATCTCCAATATTTAGAATTCTTTACGGTTCGTACAAGTTTGTCATGAAATCTGCACGATCTAAGGCGAGACATATGCAAAACGATTTACTGTAAGAATTATTATATACAATTAATATATATTTCGACTTACTAGAAGCGCCTGATACAAGCTTAAACAAGTTCCCACACTGAATACCAACACATACGATAAAATATTCAATGAAAAGACAGCCTCCGATCTGTTGCAGTACTCGATAAGCGCTTGATGCTGTCGAATATATTCCTTCAGGTCTTTGTAACATTTATCAGCGTAATCAGACTGTCCGATCAGTTTGCTGCTAGTGTCGAACAAATTCGAAAACCTGTGTTGCAGTATTTGGAACTGACAGGCTACGTGTGTGTTGACGAGGATCAGAAAGTTGTCGAGAGATATAAAGGTCACGCCGACTTGCAGACAACACAATGCCTGTGAATGTACGCGATGATTTCTTAGCTCAAGAAGGCTGTTAGATCAATAAATGTATTACACTAATGTGCAAGGAACAATTCAGACATTTTTATCGCTAAACCTACCGAGCTCTAAAAGCGATTAACATGTGCTGCCATGTAAGCATAATAGAACCGAATTTTTTCTAGACCTTTTGCCATCGTTGTTGCAACGTAAGCTTGATTGAATAGGATTAATTGGATCGAATTCGGTGATTTTGAAAATTATATCGCGATCGGCAACGCGTTTGACAACCGTCTCCTAGGATTTCACGCGAACGTTTCAACATTCTCCCCTTAATTTTTACTAAAGAATGTTCCTCTTCTACAGACGGATACGTGCAATACCTGCATGACGAATAGAATTTCAAAATACGGCGTGTCGTACATACTGTGGCCCAGAACCGGCCACATCCTAATCGGAAGCGCTCTTACTGATGCGTTTCCCGAGACGGTCTCTAGAATGCACGTGAGAAGAATCAAGATCGTAAAGGTGCAACAAGCATGATACAGCATAGGTGACGATAAGCAATTGTAAATCGGTTGATACGAGTGCTATTTCGCAGTGTAAACGTCCTAAAAAAAATCGCGAGATCGTCTTGAATTTCGTCATCTAGAAAGAATGACGCAGAACACTACGATTCCTACTCGTTCGCGTTTAATTCCGTTCACTCACCATAAATTGGTATACACGTGTAACCAAGCACAATGCATACCATACAGCTGCACGTGATCGCGACGACATAAGTGAAAGATTTTCTGGTCGACTCTATGTACACCTCCTCGTCTTCGTCGTACTCGATGTCCCAGAAATTCGCTCTCATGTACATCGCTAACTTCATAAATCTCGGTTTGTTCAGGCACAACAGGACGTGCTTCAAGCACCCGACGGAGGTAATTAGAAAGCTAGCAGTTATATAAAGGACATACTGGAATTGGACAAATATTAACAATGCAATGCTGCCTGAATTTTCATGTAGTCGATCACTAAATAGAGTGGTAATGATCATTGGCTTGTGAACGAACGCGGAATCTCTGGTGAACTGGAGCGTGCATCTTTGTTTCCTTTTATCGTCAAAATTCAGCATAATTTCGGCACTTTTTCTGGGTCAAATCGCGTTACGCAATTTTCAAAATCTCTTAAACCTTGACCGGTGTGCTGAGGTCACGGGGATCATGACCCCAACAGTGTCACAGCAAAAGCTTAATTTTTCCCGTTTCCGGTACTTTGCGCGATAAAAATAAAACACAATGGATCGTTTATTCGAAATTAGATCTCATCTTGTTGCACTTTCAATTTAGGCATGATCGCAGTATACTGATCAGTTCTCGGAAAATGTTCGTCGATACCGAATGCATTTCGCTCAGAGTTTTCGTTCGGAGGAAACAAATCGATCCGCAGAAATTTAATTTCTGAATTTCAGGAAGTGTCCAATCACGAAGATTTCCAAACGAACGCGGAACTAACACGGAACCGTTCGGGACCTGTTTCGATAGGCGAGGATCGCGACTTGCGAAACGGTTGCACTCACGTCGATGTCGTCCAAGCTGTGATAAATGTCGGAGAGGTCGATGTACACGCCGAAGAACAGCATGACGAACGTGTAGGCCACGGTGAGCGTTCTCAGTCTCCTCTCCCAATCGGTGTTCGCCATCCAACATCCTGAACACTTCATAAGGAAACACGACACGGGAATGGAAATGTCTTTTTTCCTCATAGGGATTTCTAAGCGAAGACCAGAGCTGCGGCGAAGTTTCAATCGACCGTCGAGCATCGGCCAGGAGTGCTTATTTCGTCTGACATTGCTTTGATCAACCGTGGACAGCCGCGTATCAGCGAGAGCTTCGATATGCACGGCTGCGTGATAGCATAAAAACCAGATGAAGAAGCAAACGTTCCATTGATCTATTATGCAAGGTGTCTGAGGGGTGTGACTATTGCTCGGTCGCTTCCGATCCGCCGACTGTCAGTGTCTATTGGAACAGAGTGCTAACGATGTGGGCGTAGTAGTCAGCTCTCGATAGAATTCTGATCGACAATGTTGCCCGAAGATCGAGATTGCATCGCGAAGGTAAGGAGAGAGTTGCGAAGTTTTTCTTGGCAAGTGCGTCGAGTGCAGCGCCGAAATGATTAGCGCGAATTGCATTTTAATTACTTCCTTCGCATCGGAATGATCGTCCGGTTTATATAAATTTGCGACGAAATAACGTGCGCCGGTTAATTTTATCAAATAAATAAATACTATACTCGTATAGCGGTACCATACTTAATAAATGATATTTGCGCCTTGAAATTAATAATCGAGCAGGAATAGAACATTATTCTTTTCAAATGAGACGATCATTTCGATGGAAATAATTTATGCAAATAGAACGAACATTTCGATACTGAGTGAGGTATAATTTTGTAAAACAAAATTCACAACTCGAAAATGTTTCTGTGCTTTCCGTTTTAGCGTCGCATCTTCTGCTGGGCAATGAACGCGCGAAGAAACGAGTCGAATGAAGGAACAAAGAAGTCAGGATTTTACAGTGGAAGTATTTTATTATATATATAATTAATATACATATATATAAATATATGTCTCACTTATATCCCTATATATATGTATATCGGCTTTATCATTTTCTTTGAGAAAATACATATACTTATTCGCAACTCATTAATTCTCGTGGGACACGATTCAGGGCTTCGGTCGCCTCGATCGTAAAAGTCTCGAACAGACAATGGTTGTACCGGGCGGTGGGTTGGGTGGGAGGTGGAGGGACAGAGAATGATCGAAAATGATAATTTATTGCTACTTCCACAGACAGGCGAACGTTTCGTTTTCTTTTTCTCCGTTTTCTTCGTGTTCTCTTTTTCTCCCGTTCTGCATGTTTATTTTACTTTTTTAGTCGCTTTGTTCGTTTCTTTTCTTTTATCTTTTTTTTTGTTTTTCTTTTCTTTTTATTCGGTTGGACGAAAACGTTGGAGGCCGACCGACACTGAATTGCCGACACACAACAATTGTTCTGGCGCTCTACGCGCGAAACGTGGTACAACAAACGAAGAACTACCTCCCGCAGTGCTTACGTATTGGAGCCTTAAGTGTACCATTATCGTTTACAGTGAATCAAATCGGGTGGTGATTGGGAGGGGTGGGGGTAGGGAGCGGTTTAGTTTTCTTGCGACGGGGGAGGGGGGGGGCAAGAGGCGTCGACATTGGTAACGCGTTCACATTTTTCCGGCTTCCTCCGCTTTGGTACGTACACCGTTGATACAATAGTAAAACACTTATCAATTTCATTTGCATACATGTCCTTACCTAGTATGTTTCTATTATTTCATTGTTAGTCGGATAATGCCGTTTATCCACATAACACGTGTAACCATCAAAGCAACAGAAAACGTTAACTGAAACGTGTCCGTGTTCGCCGGTGAGTCGGGCACGGGCCCATCTTTCGATCTCGGTCGCTAGTTTTAAAGGTTCGTTTTTTTTTATCGAGGATTCTTACATTAATGTCATTACACGGGGTATCGATATTCTCGGATACAGTTTCCTCCCGCCTAATTAGAAGCTGAAGCGTTTCCACATCGGCAGGCTCGTTCTGTCGATCCTTGAACCGGCCTCTGTTCGCAGCTCGCGATCGTATTCTCGCGCCAATTATTAATTTTTCTTTCCCGTTTCTTCACGCGGCTCCTTTCTTCTCCCGATTTCTGACAACTGATTTCGCCGGAAGCAAACGCGCGCGCGCCTAGTGCAATCAATGCAAATTACAATTTCCTTCGGCTCTCTTCGGCGATCGTTGCTCGAACGACGTCGTCGATCGCCACATTGCAGCGGATCGTTGATCGATCGTCTAGTCTAAGTTGTTGGAAAGCGACCCGTTGCGACTATGCTCTAAAATTTGTGGGTGTCGCTACTTTACAGGTTCGCACGCTTGCGCGCGTGTATCGAATGTATTGCACTCGGAAAAAAAGGAAGAGACGAGAGCGGTAGTTGAGTTTTCGTGTGTGATGCGTTCCATTTGGATTGTATTTTTCTCCTTGTGCTGTCGTTCTCAGTTTTCGTACCTTTTGCCATGCCGGAGGCCCAAAACGCGGAGCAAAATTATGTTTATGCTGTTTTGGAAACGGTCGTGTTCGGTGCGTTTTTTTGTGTGATCGCTGTTGACTCGTCGCTGTCGTTCAAATTCTCGGATTTTGAAATGTTACTAGAAACATCGACGGATACATTTAAACAAATTTTGCAAGAAATGATTCACCAAAGTGTCGGCGTGTTCTGTAAAATCGAAACGGGCACGTTTCGCTTTCAATTGATTTCTTTATTATTTATTGAAAGTATGTATATTTATGTTTCAGGACACGAACGTAAGAAATTAGTAAAATATTTGAAATATTTCATTCAAATGAACATTTGACTTATTCGAGTGAACTTCGAAGTTTCTAATTGCACTCGTATCTTTCAGATTTTAATTCGCCATCGACCTGCTGCGAGCAAATTGCAGTTCGGCTCTGGTCTGATAAGTGAAACTCGGCTATAGTTCGGCAAGTAGAAGGTCCGTTTTTAGTCAGACAAGTGGTGCACAAGTCGTCTGCAACAGGTGGAGTGTACCAGACTATAAGAAACTATGTTCTCCAAAGAATCAATGATTTGTTTGACAGATAAACCTGATTTGTGAAATCTTCTTTCAATTGTTTTGTTAAGTTGCACTGTTATCGTTCACTTTCTCCAAAACCGTTCTACCGAGACAATGAAATTTCATAAACATTAACTTTAACACACGTCATAAATATTTGAAAACAAATTACTTCGAAACGTTACTCGATGAATAAAAAACCGTCCACGAAATTCTGCAATTTTACATCGCGACGAATAGAAACAAATATCCTGCGAATTCGTCTTGAGTTTACAAAACCAGAAAGAGAATCGATTTGTGACTGTAATTTCCTTAGAAATTCGCGTGCGTATTTTATCAAACGATTAGAAAAATATTTGACGATCGTACGGGACAAAGTAAAAGTCTTCCCGCAAAGTAACGGACTGTTGACAACAGGTGTTCGCAATAAATTACATCGTAACAATCTAGCCGAGATTGTACCGGCGTAACAGGTATGAATTTCGCAGGTGTGCACAATGGAAACCCGGCAAACCGTTCGAAAGCAACGCATCGATTTCCATAAAAGTTCGTAAAGGCCGATCGCGAGCAACAAATTCGACTTCGTTCGGAAAACAACGTAATCGATCAAATCACCGTTCGATCCTGATCGGCGTTACGTGTCTTTTAATCGTCCGTAGAGACCGTGAACAGAATCGCGTAATTCAGAGAGTGTAATTCACGCGTGGTACGCCGTGTGTCCGTGTCGGTGTGAGTCGGTGTGCGTGTGCGCCCTCGATTATTAATCAATCAATTCGGAAATCATCTACTTAGACGTAACGCGTTCGAACGAACCGCCGGTTCGTTCTGCTCTTTTCCCGACGACAACGATAATAAATTACGCTTAAAAGTGTTCGCCTTAAATCTTTATCGAATATTACGTATTATATTGCTGTGTACAATAATCCGGGAACGGCTACGTTCCCGGCAAGTTCGCGAACGCCGTGAATTTTGTGCCGTTCCGAAATCCGCGTACAATGTGCGAAGAGATTCAAAGATCGATGATACGGGCTCCTTAGATCCTGAATCGCCTAGATTAACGGCGGGGCACCGCGGTGCCTCGGATTAGAAAATCTCTGAACGTGTATCGATAACTGCAACGAGCTTGTCGACTTTTGTGCAACGTTTTTTTTTTTGTGTCTTTCAGACGAACGGATGTCATCGATGTGCGCGGCGTGTCTACACGCGGAAGGTCGGTTGCCTCGATGACCGAAGATGTAACAACGCGTCGAGACGCTGTTGTTGCACGTGAACATCGTGAACCGAAACACGGTTTGTCATATTCTAGGGCATTTGTAAGCTGTAACAATCATTGCGAGCGCAGCCCTCGTTGTATCAGCCATCGAAGAGCTTTCGTGCTCCGAACCTTCAGTTTTCGCTGGAACGCGCAAATAATCTGAATAGCAAGCGAGTTCACCAAGCATTTTCGTATCTTGCTATGCAAGGACCGTGTCTGTTCCCTTTGGACAATGAACAGGTTTGTTTCTCGTGTACCAGCAACGATTTCTCCCTTCTTCGAAATTAATAGCCGTCGCGACCAGGCCGCGGATCTTTATGCGACGTCAGAATTGTCGGCGAAAGTGACTCGGAAGCTTGCATTCTTTCTGCAATCATTTTGCTAGGTCGAAAGCAGCACAGCGTCGTTATTTAACCTTTGCACTCGAGTGGTTCGACGAAATCGTTATACAGTGTTACAAAGTAATTTTTACATTGTCACGTTCGTTTATATTCGAGAGACTGTTAAAACGATACCTGTTGTACGAGTTACAAGACTCGATTTCAAATGCATAAACTGCGTTAACGCGTGCGAAATAGAAATAAGATCTGAGAAACTTATTTAGAATTGAAATGGCTTCGAGTACAAAGGGTTAAATGTGTTTAACCTCGCCGCTGATTCGAGCTGCGGACGCTAATTCTCGTCGTAAAGTGCATAAAATCCGCAGCCTGCTCGCAACGAACGCGTTACACGTCGAACAATGATATAAATCTTTCGACCATAATTTTCTCCCCGGATGCT